TGCCAGCAGTCTATCAGTCTGTGCTGGGCCAGCGGTGCGGGGTTGATGCCGCGCCACGTGTACCGGTCGGCCAGCGTGTGAAGCAGCGCAGTGTCCTGCCTTCCACCTCTGTTGGTATTGCCGCTGTGACAGCCGTGGGCTGGGCGGGTGCGCAGGTCGCGGCCGTTTGACCAATCAGTTTGACCTGATCTGGTCACTAACCGGGTGGGGATGGACGGCGAGACGAATGCAGTCGAACGGGTGGTCAGCTATGGCTGACTGCACCAAGTGTCTATTGCTGCGTTTCGTCCCGTGGGTGTGGATAGACATATTCCAAAGGAAATGCGGCCATGGTGTGGAGCGAAACACGCAAACGAGAACGGCGATTCGACCGTGGGAGACCTCCGGCGACGGTTACGGCTGACCGACCACTGCGCGTGGCATGAAAATCGCGACGCGACCCTCCCTTGGGGGAATGCGGTCGTACCGTACGACCATGCGCAGCTGCACCGTTTCCCGGTGCTTAGTGTGTGGCATGAAAACAGGCGTTGCTCTATCCAAAAGACGGGCGCGTTCCTATCACAGCGTCGAGCTATGGTCTGCGCCGGTCCTTGGCCATTCGGCCCAGCCCGACCCGGCGCCTGTCCGGTAATGTGGGTCTGCATAGCAACCCCCGGGGCGAATCTGCTTGATAATGCGTGGTCTTCTACAACGTAACAATTCGAAGAAGATATAGTCCGTTGCCTATTCGATTTAACATGGGAAACTACAACTGATAAATTGAGAAATAGCTGCGCAACAGGACACAAAACCGCGACCGCATGTTGTCAGCCCCGTATCCCTACAAAGAGGTGTTAACTTGGGTCACGCTTTACCTTCCATACTCGTTTGTTATCGATAAACTGTGCCATTGTGCTTCGGGTGGTGTGTCTCGTTTCACGCTTGGATACCGAGGGAGGGCTGATAATTATTTTAGAAGCCAAAATATATATATATTTAGGAGTATTTGTTCACCTGTAAGTCAAGCTTTGCTTTTCCTGACATCTCAAACACGTTTGGCATCAGCAAGAAGACCAATGCGTTTTGAATCGCGGGCCTCCTCGCGATACGACGCCAGTGAATAAGCAAAATTTTCTTGGACCGTTTTAGTTCCAGCCACGGGTTCTAGCCACTCAGCTGATAGCGATGACTTCATGTGGTCTCCGTAGGCGAGCTCGGCGGGCTGGCGCGCTGCAATGACGCGCTGCGAGAAGTTGTTAGTAAATCTGTGGGATGGCCGGCGTGGCGTCGGTCCTGCCACGCTGTTCTTAAGCGTTTAGCCTGATTAAGCAATACGATACAAGGACCCTGACTAAGTTCGGTAGTATTGGGAATGAAAGAGAGTGCCACTTCAAGGAGCTATGCCTATCTAGGTTGCGAGGAACGATGGCACAGGTGCAAGGCCTGAAGCATTTGGAGTGCAAGAACCTCCAAGATTATTTGAAAACGCTTGATTCTGATGTCATAAACCAGCTTTATAATCATCCAGCATCATGCTTGGCTGTGTTCAGGTGAGCTGTATGATCTCACTTCAAGCAATGGAAGGAAGTGATGGTTTGGGCACTGTGATTGCAACAGGATATGCTCAGAATTTTGCTTAAATCTTATTTAAGGCATTCAAACCTTCAATTTGATGATTTAGGAAGCAGTCAAGTGTGTGCATGACCAGTGATAAAAGCTGTGTATGTGTGCATGCTGGGATGTATATCAGCCATTATCATCAGGAAATGTTTTTCTGACCAAAATTGCAACTTTAAATCATCCTTATCCTCTCAGTTACTACTTTCTAAGTGGCAGGGATCTGTATGTATTGCTGCTAGCAATCTTAAGTTCACGGTGTGCAGTATGGTGCTCATACTGGTCATTGGAAGCAATCCGTAATACTTTGTAACATGCTCACACTTTGTTTTGTTTGAAACCATCCTGTTTTATGTATGTGGTTCCTTTTCTGTTCTCAAAAATATAATATCAGCTCTTGTTTGATGTTAAGAATTCACTGTCATGCCCAATGGTGTATAATTATTTAATAATTTTATGCCCCATTGATCAGGGTCTACCACTTATGTTGATTATTGAATGTTCATCCCCAACTAATTGATTCCCACTTCTCTTTTCAGAGAGGTTCCCAAACTTGGTCAACTGTTCATCATGAGATTGCTGTTTGTGGAACAACCAATACCCAAAGCAGTCACCACATCCTGGGTGGACACATCACATGCCAAGTGAGGTTCTTGTGATGCTTGGCTGCAAGAAGGCAGCTTCACCATTTTGGATGGTCAGGGGTTTCAGGGGATAAACCCATGTGTATCTATCTCTATTCTTTTGTGAGGGCTATGTTTATTCTGGTCTTTTAATGTTGAGTTGCCCTCCCTCCCCCCTCCCCCCCCCCAAATGCTGGCTAAGGCCTCCCATATTTTGGGCTGGAATACTACAAAAAATGTAGGAGAGTTGGCCATTAAACAGACTTTCCTTTGATCCCTCTTCATAGTGGCATGACCATTAAGAGTGCAGCTAGGTTACTTAAAGTCCCAACATCAATAATATGTCATCAACTGAAGGGTATGCTTAGGCCGTGGGGTGAACAGTTGCATACTTTGACTTCTTTTTGTCTCAAATGTAAGCTGAGATGTTTTTCCCCCAACTTAACATGGTATCGACACCAATTATTCTGGGCTGTGAGATCTCACTGGACAACTAAATTATGAACCGTTATTCTGGAAGGTGAACCCACCACTGAACATTTTGCCACATCACAAATGTTGTCAGCATGACCTCAGCACTCTATCAAAGTTGGGCTTTCACCACTGCCAAAGGAGGGCTTCTGTCACTGCTGTTGATGTATCTGCTTGGCAACATATGTTGCTTTTATATGCATTTTATGCACTGCAGCCAACAGGCTTGCAAGTAGAGAGTGATGTAGACAAGTTGCTTCTTGACTAATTATTTTTATCAAAACATACCACCTGTGACATAAAACCAGTCAGTGGTAGTTAAGCTCAGATATATACATGACACCATTCATTGGAATGGTGTTTTTGCTTTCAGTAGCCTTATGCTTTTTGGGACAATAGTGGGAGAAAGATAGAGTGTTGTCTGGAATTGTTTGGCAATTTAAAGAAAATAGATATGTAGTTGCATTCTTCTACCATTTAAGGGGTTTTGATGATTCAGGATTAATTCAGGCTTTCAAGTTGCAAGGGCTTCAGTTGCATTGCTGTGTGCAGTAGACAATGATAGTATTTTAGAATGGGCGGTCTTTGGTCATCAATCTTTGGTTCAATCTTGTGGCAATTGGTGAGGGTGGTAATGGTGGTAATTGTCCTGAGCACCTCCTGTGCTGAAGCTATGATTTATGTAAATATTACATGCATGTCTAAAAATTGAAAATGTGGAAGCATTTTCAACTTAGAATTCCCAACCAAAGCACAATTGGGAAGAAAAAGGCAACTGAATCATGGACAGTCTCAGGTAATGCAATCTGGCTGTGTGTGGTGGTGGCACATTGTCCATCGCAGATGGTGTTGGTGTCATGCTGGCCTTGCCGCTGATGAGGGTAAGGGGATGGCATTTGCCTCACATTGACAATCGC